AAATTGCCTTCCATTTTAGCAAAGCAGCACTCATTTTGTTTGGAAAACTGCTATTGAACATTTCTATACCTTGAAGTCCTGTCCATCATCTGAACTCTTTTTTCCAGCTTCCCGTCGGGCATGCTGCAGCAGTGTCCGCCCAATCACCTGCTCCATGTGCTGCTGAAGAAACTGAAGAGCTTCTTGAATTTCTGTGACGAGCTGCTGGTGAAATTCTAAATGGGTTTGCTGCGTTTCTTCCTCGAGCTTCTCCTCCTCTTCCAGAATGTGGGACTCCTGGCAATCAGACAAAAAGATAGCACTGCCATTTAAATATGTTGACAAACTTAGTCAGCTTCACTTAGTCTGACACCCATTCAGAATGACACTGTTTTAATACTTAGAATTGTCTAATTTCCAGCAGTTGTTTACGCAGTTATTTAACACATCTGTCTTTGTAACAGAACTATTGCCTCCATCATGATACATACAATAACAGCTGCATGCTGTCCCATTAGTCATTTCCAACTGACGTATTCCCATCTTTGTATTCTGTACTGTTGAATTTGGTCTTATTTCTATTAAAAATATGAACAATCTAGGTCAAATATCCTGAGTCCAGTAAGGGATAATTGTGGATGCCTTGATACAGTGCATGGGAACAAGGCAAGTATACAGTTATGCACATGGAATACTCGTACAGTTTGTGGGGCCTACCTGAGAAAAAGTTGGTATATTGGTACTTAAGGCCCTTGGGAGAAGTCATGAACCTGTTTAATAGCACTTGGAAACCATTTGCACTCTTGGCATCCACAGCATCCTCTGGTGGTGAGTTCTACAGCTTATTCACACATTTCTTAATTTTGAACCTGCCATCTAATAGCTTTGCTCGGTGCTGTCTTCTTTTATTAGAAACAAGTGAAAAATCGTTCCCTTTTCACATCTTTTATGTCAGTTTTAAAACCTATGATATTCCAGAAGACACCTCTTTTTTAGGCTGAAGACTGCTAGCCTCTTGAGGTCTTTGGACCATCCTTGCTACCATTTTCTATGCTTCTTTTTAAATCCACTTTCCCTCTAAACTCTCTTTAGCACACAATAGTATACGCTCACCAGCACAACCTGTTCTGTCTTCCTTACATGTATTAGTCTTCCACAGATCGCCTTCTATTGAGTTGCTGATGTCCCTCATGTTAATATTCTCATTTAAAGCTAAATAACATTAAATTATTCTGGGGGATTTGACAGTACCTATTTGATTCCCTCTTGGAAATAAGAAATGCAAGTAGGAAAAGAACCTGCTCTGCCCACATTCGTCTCTGGAAAATAATGATGTCCCTATTAATGCTTGGTTATTCTGACATGTCTTTATTTATAGCTCAGACATATGTTTTTGATGGTTTTTTTTAGACAGTCACAATGTCATTAAACCATTTCTCTTTTTTTTAAGAGACCCAATGTCATGTTATCATGTCCAAGCTAGGATTCTTTAGTGTTGTTTTACATTTTATATGAAATCAACAGATAGACATGACACTGTCTACCAGTCTAAAATTGGCACAAGCTCAAATTAAGTTTAGTTCAAACAACACGGTATGTCTAAAACTCTGGGTGAGTGTCTGTAAATTAACCTTTTCCCTACCTCATTATACATTAGTTCTAGTTTTGGAGGTTGTTCATGAATTTTTTTTCTCTCTGACTTTTCACAATTCCACACCTAGGCCCTACTTCTTTGGCAGCAAGGATCTTATATGTGTATTTTTAGGCACTTCCTTGTGAGATGGGCTTTAGCTGGCCTTGGAAAGAGGCTGTAATGGAGAGAGGCCAAAGGAACCTGGGGACATTTCATTTTTGTTAGGGAACACCGTGGTTGCATCAACTAACATCCCTGTGGGAGCTAAGTGAGAGGGAGTAGTGGAAAGCACATAACAAGAGGAATGCAGACATATGCATTTGTATTTTATTATTTTATATTTTATTTCTTCTGAAGGAAGAAGGAACTACTTCAACAGAAGTATCAAATAGGAAAATGGCAGCAGACAGAACTTCCTTATTCCTCTTCCAAGTGGAGAATTAGGGTTTGTATTATGCAAATCAGAATTAGAGGGATGCAAAATATTATCTCTCAGCTAATTACACAGCAACAGCATGGAACAGAGAGCTGCAAAGTGTTGGATGGGTTCAACCCATATGTGCAGCAGCAGTGGGCTGGGCAGGGGCTACTACTGGCACCTACTACGAGGGTCCTCTGAGGTTGAAATTTGAAATTCAGTGTTGTTCTAGGTAAGTATCCAATGCAGGTAAGTAAATAACCAACAACACTTAATGGATTAACCCTAAAAAACAGTCACAAACAGATTTGAAAGCAACCTGTGGGAATATCAAGTCTAAAAATCCCTTAAACTTTCTCCCATCTCCTTGACCTACAGGAGCCAGATTATTTGGAAGGATGTCAGAGGAATGGATGCTGAGCATCTCATGGATAGAGAAGAAAGAAAGAAGAATGAAAAATGATGACAGAAAAAGAACTTGCTAGGTCTGGTGGAGGGAAGAATTTCTTCTGATGCTCTGATGCTCAAGAACTTTTCAAGTGCATATTACGATCCCTAGCAGAATTAATAGGAGTTCATCTTACCCTGAAGCAGTAACTTGTGTAGAAGTCCTTTATAAATGTTGGCATGCCTTCTTTCATTAGTATTTTCATATAAAATAAATAGCTAAATAAGCTTGCTGTGATAACACATATCACAGATAGCTAGCCAGTAAAGTATTAGGGAATTTTAAATGTCTGCCCAACTAAAACAGGCACACTCAGGGACCTCCTATGCCAGCAGTGGGTGCATTTTTGACAGAGAATTATTTTCCTTTCTGTTTGGAACTTGACAATTTTTGAGATCTTCTATGGCTACTTCTAATGCCAGACATCATAGCATATAAGACCTCTGAAGAAAAACCACCCGGATACTGTACCTACCACTGCCTTCTGTAGCTGCCACTGGTCCTCATCTTGGCAGGGGGAGGATCCCTTCTGCAGGGTATGTTGCTCTCTCAGTTCCTGAAGCAAGCTCTTCTTTCTGGACATTCTCATGCGCGCCAGGGCTGCCATTCCAACTCTTCGGAGGGTTAACCTTGTGAGTACTGAACACAGCAGAAGTCGGTGTTTTTGCAATATATAGTTAACAGACCTGTAAGAAGGACCATTAAAAATCAATCAGCTGAGCTGCTTGCTGATTTGGCACCCCTGTGTTCAGCAAAGTCATTGCTCAAAGATGACAGGAGTTACTGTTCACTCTGTGTAACGTCTTCTCATACAAAGCATGCCTTGGAAAGCTGCTCGGGTGTAAAGAATGAGAATTGCTGTGACAGACTTCTAGTTCTGTCACACTGAAGTTAAATTAAAATAAAAATAGGAAGAAAAGAGATAAATAATCATCTATAGTTACATAATAGAAGTTTTTTTAATAGGGGACGAAATAAGATTAAAAGAGAATGTAATCAGAACTACAGGAAAGTTATTTCAAGAAAATGCAGGACAGCGTATCTTGGATTAACAAGGAGGCACACTCTGAAGAGACACTGAGGAGGCTTAGTGTTAGCTGGCAGGGCAGACATGGCTGAAGCAAGTTTGTGGTGAATTTTAAACAGGAGAGCAAATTTTGAAGTTGATTCTGGACCAGGTGAGTGAACTCTGTATGCACATTTGGGATGACATAGCTTGTGCCTGTATCTATCTTGTGCGTATGTGTAAGGCACCATGAGCTCTCTAGATACCGAATCTTGGGAAACATTGAAGTCAGAGAACGCGAAAATCTAAGGTTGAACTGAAAAGTAGAGCCAAAATAAAGGAGTGCAATGGCAATAATACCAATATTCCAAATAGGCAAGTCTTCAAATGCTTTGATCTTTGGTAATGTGAACACCATGGTGAATGAAGTCATTTGATATCTTAATCAAAATGAGGCAGATGATAGATAGATAGATATGAGAAGTATCTTTATCAAAGAGGTGTTTAGCTGTACAATGATGAGATAAAACCAAAAGTTTCCCTGGTGAATACAGATAGAGAATGCAAGAGACGAGTCATTATCCTGCAAAGCGATGGTCAGTGGTATTGTAGTAGCAGAAAGCAAAAGTAGAGCTGAATGGTGCTGGACTGAACATTTTACCTTGAAGAATATCCAACTCCAATGTGACATACAGAGTGCAAAGAGAGGCTGGTTCAAGATCAGAAATCACTCATAAACATAGGAGTAGATACACAGAAAGCACACCACTTGACAAATCACAGAAGACTATTTTTTCTATTTACCAGGAGTCATGATATCTGTTTTTTTTAATTTGTTTTTGATACTCAGACAAAACTGAGTATCTGCCTCTCTGTCTGAAGATGCTCATAGTCCCTCAACACTGCTTTCCACAACGTAATGTACACAAGTTTTTAACTGTGCATGCAGCAGTGTTTTACCCCACGGCTTACTGAGAAAACCAAACTTACTCATCACTGAGGCATCCTAGTCTGCTTATGACACCTTGAATTATCTTCTCTTGTTTCTCAGACAGATGCTTTTGCATCACAGCAGACAGAGCATATTCCTTCATCCATAGCTAAAAGCAGGGGAAAAAAATTACAGTCATAAGATACTCTGATTTCAGTCATTCTAGTCACCACATTATGAAACAGGGGTTTATTCGATGTTATTTTGCTAAAAATAATCATCCCCCTCTTTCAAGAAACAAACTCATGCTGAATTAAAATTATTCTACTTAAGAATAGTTTTTTATCAATGATCAAAGTCTTAAACAAAGCTCACTGAAAAGCAAGGGAAGCTTTGCACTGTTTTGGATCAGGCCTGAGCTGTGTCTCCTACAGATTTTCCGGTTTGTGTGCTAATAGTTACAAACGGAGATTGCATGATTAGGTTTATGGACCGCAAGTTTACAGCTCCTTCAGGGTGATACTTAGATCAAAGAATTTAATCTTCAAATGTTTTGATGGATTTGCCATTAGACTGTAAACTTGGGGAGATATGGACTTAAGATTTTGTTTAGCGTATTGCCAGAATTTAATGAATAATAAGCCATAAGATTAAATGGTTATAAGGCCCAAACTCTATTACTGTGAGATGAAGAGTATATTTTAGGCTACACTGGCAGCTGGATAAATGCAGGTTGCCTGCAGATGTATGCAGAGTCCTAAATTAAATATAATACTCAGGCTCTCTGACAGCTTCACTTCACGTTCTAGCCTCATTCAGAACATGAGGGACTAAATTTTCTATTATTGCAGACAGCAAGGTTTCACTAGATCAATATGTGTAGCAAAGAATTAGATGTGTAATTGCACAATCATTAGTGTTAGGGACTAGGAGTGGTACTGGGCCTTCCTACTGCATCTGATAGTCTTTTCCTTGGGAAGCAGTGATCTGTGCAGGAGAGAGGCTTTATCTGTGAGAAAAGAATGAACTCCCCCGGGAAGTGCAGAACATCAGAAACCACATCATCTTTGGCTTTAAAATAAAAATGTATTTCTTTCTTGGATAGCGCCTTCTCTGTAGTATACACAGCAACACATATAACTGACCCCTCTCCATGAAGAAAACCTTACCAAAACACACACTCCTGAGCAGGATGCCTGGGAAGGATGGGCAGGCAGGCAACAACAGGGGACAGATGGAAAGAGTTCAGCTGAGCATGAGAAGCACAGCCTGAAAGTCTGCACTGTGCTGGGGAGCCCACCAGGCTGCTCTTGGAAAGAGCCGCAAGACGTACCTGTGTAGCCAGACCTCAACTGATTTGAGTCTAGGCGATTAAAATCACAGAGCACAGCCGAGCACAGTGCCTTCTCTGATCGCATGCTGCAAGTGTCAAATTAAGGTCTATCAGGTCTCCAGGTATCATCATGACAGATGGCAAATACTTGCTTCAAGTAATAACTGTATCAGTATTTCCCTTTAGCAACTCTGTGGATATGGCTTCCTACTGTTTCACACCTCTCTGCATATGTCTAGTAGATCCATCACATTTGTGTATTTTAATGTCTCTTTCAGCAGTTAAAAGAAGGGCTGAAAATGACCTTTTATTTTCTAGAAGTATTTCAATTTTCAATGAGAGACTGGCTGTGGCTCAGTCGTGGCTTCCCATCATTTTTGGAGACCTGGTTATTCACTGAGAAGTTGCTCTTGAAGGGCCTGTCTGCACACTTACTCTCAAACACCTTGTGGATCAAATCTGGTGTAGATCACCAAGATACAGAAGACGGGAGATGTTTTCTGAATTACAATTGGAATGATAAATGATATAATACTGCAGCCAAGAAACTAAAACTTAACACCTGTGCTGCTATCAGTATATCCTACCCAAAAAGGCACTCAGAATAATAACGACAGGGATTGTACTCATTGTTTCCTTCTGTTTATGAAGAAATAACCTAGTTCTGTAGTGGCGGACACAGACTTTCTTTTGAAGGAGAAGAATGAGTCACCTTTTCCATTGCGAGTGCACTTAAGGTAAGCTGTATGCAGAATTTATAAAAGGTCTCTTCACCCCCCGAGACCAATGAAAAGCTGAGAATACAGCAGAAAATACCCCTGCACAGTTATTAAACTGAACAATAGAAGTCCATCAGCCATATAAGTAGTAAGAGAACAAAGAGGAAAGGAGGGGGATTATTACGCATTTAAGATGGGATGATAAATACGGAAGATTGAGATTTGGACCAAGTACTAAACCAGTGTTTTGTCTCAAAAAGGCTGTTAGGAACATGATCAAGAAGGGAAGGATCAGCTGGGAATAAGAACAGAATATTGTGTGTTTTATTGGAAGCAACACTTCAACGGCGCACTGGGATGGGCTGGAAGGGCTGGGTATTTTCTACCTCCAGAACACTAGAAGAACTCACGCATGCAGGCACAAATGCAACAGCAAAGATCCTCCGGGAATCTTAATTTGAGGCTGCTGGCATATTGCCGAAAACCAGCAAAACAGAGACAACTATTTCATCAAGCCAGGTGGAAAGGTCAGGCTTTGTGCTGCACTGACCTTCCAACACCAGGCCAAATCTCCAAGCGCTGCTCCAAGCTTTCCTGTTCTTGGGAATGGCCTTACTTTGCTCAGAGACAGGTCAGTATGGAGTGGAGAAAATGACACTGCTGCACAGACTCAGCGGCTGGAACAGAGCTCGGGCTCCTGCATTTAACCAGTAAAACCAGTGACAAAAGCATGGTAAATGGGGGAGTAAAGCTCCAAGGAAAGTCTGGCTTCTTGAAAAGAAGTCATTCCAATCACTGTGAAAAAATGTGTATAAAATTAAGAGAAAGTAATAAAATGCACACCACGTCAAAACTGGTAAGCAGATGCTGGTTCAGCTTTCTGGGTGTCAAGCAACGATGTGGGAATGGACAGAAATCTCCTCACCTCATTTTTTCTCTGTAAGCTTCTCAGTGTTTTGCTTCCTGGCAACAAGTCCATTACAAGACCTTCTGGAGCACTGCTAATGTTAAGTATTACTCTCTGGCAACAAAGGTGAGGAATGTGTCTTTGGTAGGTAATGAAACCCTTAAAATATTTTGAGTTAGACCTCAGATACAACAGCAAATTAGACCCAAGTAAGCTCACTCTTTTTTCTGCAGCTCTCAGTTTGACATTTTTAGCATAGATTCTCAGGAAATCGAAAGAAAGCAATTTCTCCCTAACAGCCTGTAGATGGGGTGTGATGCACACTGAATGCCAAGCAAGTACCTCAGCCTGGGGCAGCAGTCTGCTCCCTGGAACCGCTGCCCAGGCAGGAGAGCTTGTCTACAGAAATCATGAGGTAGGGGCTATGTGGGAAAATGCTCAAAATGTATTTTCATTAATCATTTATTCTCATTTGCCTCACTCACATCCTCAAGCGTATAAGGCAAAAGTTAAATATGACACCCATTTTTTTCTTTTCAATTGTAGAAGAGATTCTGTTCCCCCAAAGGACATCATATTCCAGATTTGTATGAATGCTAGGAAAGATAATCTAAAAAAAAAAAAAAAAAAAAAAAAGGCAGTTCAAGCAAATGGGAAAAATGTCTTTTTGAGCCACCTTGAAAAGCACACATAAATACCCTGGTGAAAAGCCTTCTGGTGTTAGGCTCCCCAGGTCTGTAAAGCAGGTGACTATGTAACTCGTAGTATAATACATTTATCAAGAGGCAAATGAAAGACATATTCCTGCTGGAAAATGCCCGATAAATTAAAAGGCATTTAATTATGGTTCATAAACAATATGAATGTTGATTTATGGATCTTCTGTCATATTCAGCACTGTAACATCTATGGGATCTCCTAAATGACATGATCACCTGTCACAAGTGTCTGATCTCTCTTCTTCTTAAGGTGGAAACCAAGTGCTCCTTTTTGTAGGACACAAGTGTCAGCTTATTGCTGAAATGTGCATGCTGCTGTGTTTAGACTAGGAAAGGGCCAAGAAATGCATTTGAACTTAATATAATGAGTTGTGTGATGTTTTTCAGACTTGTTTATACAGGAAAATCTGCCAGCCTAGCTTTGGTGGAATAGCTATCTCCCTGCATGCTCTCTTTGGAGATATAGAAGACTTCTTTCCAGTTTAGTTCAAACCACTTCCAAAAAGCCACATGCATTAAGTTAAAAAAGCTACTTAAGCTCCTGTAAAGAATATCATCTTGAGGAATCACACATTTTCCCACTAGGAGAAACCCTTGTCTCTTCTAGTAATTTATCCCACAGAATCACTCGTTCTTAGGACAGCTCTGTCTGCTGCTCAGGAAATTTTTATATTGATTAAGGCCCAACTGCAGCGCTGGTGACCCAGAGACCAATGTGAGAGCTCTGTCATTGCTAAATGAATTCCTCTATAGCTCAGTAATTACTGTTAATGATGTAAGCAAACCCTTTATTCTTTTTTTTTCCAGCTAGGAAGCTATCTGCTTTGTATTATGAATGCTACGGTACACTGAAAGTGATGGGAAGTAAACTTTCTAGTTTAAATAACCTATGCTTGGGCATGACTAGAACATCTGAATTTACATACAATGAATCCACCATACAGTGCTGCCCAAAGAGCTATTATCCAGCAACTGGGTGCTGGAGATGAGCTAATCTTTTTAATCCCTTGAGAAAAAAATCCCAGGGAGTGGTTTCTCCACTCAATACTGTTCCCAATGATAGTAACAGAGGAATGCATAAACAGCATTTTTGGAACAAAACTTTAGACTTGAGATCTCCCCCTCTGTGGAGAGTCTCCTAGACCTTGAACAACATCCTCTCTGGCCCTGAACAATGGCTAAGGTTCAATGGGACAGTGGAAGGACCAGAGCAGAGATGCCCTAACATGCACTCTGACTTCTGAGACTAATCGTAAGTTGCACACCAGAACCTCCTCCTTCTCTGACTGTCGTTTTTAATGACAGCAGATACCACCACAGTGCTTTGGTCTCCATGCACTATGAGACATGCTTGTAGTGCACCTACTAATCCAGGCTGCTCAGGTCATTCACATACAAGGACAAGCAATTTGTGAACCCTCGGTGAATGTGAAAATGAACAGCAACCTAGAGTTTTAAGCTTGCCAAGTCAGGCATTGAATCTAATCCCTGATAAAAAGGGACAAAATAGAAAAAGCTGAGGTCAGACATTGTTTCATTAATCACTGAAGGTATAGGTATGCCAAATTCAAACACTAAATGCCAGCCAGCAGTCGTAGAAAACGCAAATACCTGCCCTTAACTTAAAGCATGGGAGCAGACTCATTGGCATCAGTGGTCGGTCCAAGTATATTTTAGTTTAGTTTGCTAGATATCCCTGTGACACAGAAACAGAAGAGGCAAGCAGAGTTGTTTTTCAAAATAGTTGAGATAACAGGTGAGTTACAATAAAGTAAATATAAAATGATCAGGGAGGTGCATGTTGTATAACTCCAGATTAAGGAAAATAGAGAAGAAAAAAAGGAAATGGCTAAGAATTTCCAACGAATACTTTTACTTTTGTATTCCCAAGGGTGTTCTACAACCACTGGTCAGCAAACCACTCTACCAGATTTAGTAGGAAGCCCAGAGTTTCCGGAATCACAGGGTTTTATGAAAGAACCCTAAATATGAGTGGGTGGAAAAGCTAAACACCTTATAGCGGTCTGTAATAATCAGGGACTCAATCAGTACCTTATTAACCATGTACTGAATTGTCCAGGTACTTTGGAGAATGAGGCTAGGGAAAAGTATGATTTTGCCAGTGTTAAAGAACTCTGCCAACCTTTTATTTAAGAAGCTCCAATTACTCTATATGTTGCAGCACACACTTGACATTTGGGAAGGGGCACACCTTTCTTTGCATACAGAAGGTCTTTCTTTGACTAAGCTGTGTTAGTCTTCAAAGGAGTGTTAATAGAGACACAGCATTGCATCAATAAATTGAAGGTATAATTGAGTTCCAGCCTAATGTTGAAGATAGCTGCCTCTGCATTTACTGTTGTTGCTTTTCTCCTCTGGTGTCAATGCCCCCTATGCTGGGCAGGGGGCATCTAGGAAAGCTGGGTGTGTGTTTCTTCACCTTCTCAGAGTAAAGAATAAGTTTTATATAAAAGTGTGTAACATATGTTTCCAATTATTATAGTATTAATATATAAAAATGATTAAGAAATATTTATCATTGTAAGGCCTCCTTTCCTGTAAACTGTACTCATATGTACCCTCTCCAAACAGACCAGATGAAGGTTTTTTTGAACTGTTTCTGTAGATGCTCAAGCGTTGAGGACATCAGACAGCAGCTTTGCCAAAAAATGTTTATGTGCTGACAAAGCTGTCAAACTGTGGACAGATGTTCAGTAATTACTCTCTGACCCCTCTGTGCAAGTCTACATGCACAGCATATATATTCACTTCATACTGCAGGTCAAACTGCCCATCCTGAGTCTCATCCTGTGTCTGGACCTGGGATGTATATTAATAGTCAAAATACTCCCCACAGATAAATATGTTAATTTTTTTTTTTTTCCCCTATTGCTGTTTTTAGACCCTGGGGTCCCAGAATGTAATACGGGCCTTTCTTACTTTTTTTTCTTGCAATAGCTGTTCCTGGAAAAGCTTCCAGCGTCTCTGGCGTGGGGTCTCCCATTTCTCCAGCTGAGGGACCAAATTCTCCTGCCATTCCTCTTTCAGAAGCTCACATTCGCTTACAGAGAGGCCGGTCACAACAGGCAGGGTCCGAAGAAACAGCTTCGTCACCAACTCCGCTAAAGCATGGCAAGCTTTAGAGTACAGTTCCTAGCAGAGGGACAAAGAGGGACAGAGTGATAGGTGAGAAAGTGAACCCCCCGGCCCTCTGGACCTGTTTCATTGCATGTCTCCATGATGCCAGTGAGGGAACCATGTCCCACTGAAGACACTGGGCCAGTGACCGACCCCTAGAGCTAAAATCCAATGCCACTAATGCTTGCATTAAAAAGACCAGGTTTTGTAGATGGAACAACTTAAATGTTTTGGTTCAAGGCACACAAGGGTATTTAAAATACAATAGTGGCATCAGCACATGAGACCTTGAATCCTAACTGTTGCCCACATGCAACTACAGTACGAAGAGTATCTTGTTTTACTGGCTATGGCGATGTGTTATAAAAACACCTATTCTGAAAGCTGCTGTGGAAACAATCCGGTGTAGCACACCACCTCATAGGCACATTTTCAAAGGTGCTGATATGAAATGAATGAAGGCAAGAAAGAAGGAAGAGTTAAAAGAGACAGTGTGGCATTTAGTTAGACAAAATTGACACTAGTCATGTTAATAGTTAGTGCTCCGAAATATGACACTCTTCAATGCCTTCTGGAAAGACAGAATTATTGAAGTTCCTTCTGATGCAGAACAGGTTCAAGCCTAGGAAAACAAACACCTTCTGGTGGTTTTATTAAAACTAGTCCCATATGAGTGGTTTTCAATTGCTGAGGCTGTTTCACTCGCAAGAAGAGTTTGGGTAATTTAGTCAGATGGCATCCAAGCTAAAAAGTCTGTTCAAAACGCATAATTTCACTGTCAAATACACAGTGATGATACAAGCTGTGTTTGCAAACTTGCAACAATTTGAGATAATCCCTGAAGAGAAGGTGTGAGGGCACATAGCTCTCCCCAGCAGAAGAGAGAAAACAAAAGACACGTGGGAAAGGTCACATGGACACTCTTCAAACTCCAGCAGTTTGAAGAGCTATTTTTGTGTGAGTTCCACAGTTTGGATCCTACCAGTCCAAAAAGCTTTACTGCCTACTTGGTTTTGCTTTCATTGTAAATCAGTGTTTCCCTCCCACAAGTTTTCCCTCTTGAAAATACTTATATTTCTTTCTTTTCCTTAAAATACAGCTAATATTTTTAAAACTCTTTTCAGCATTCCTGTTGCAAAAATAAGTCAAGTCTTCTAGCTGTTGCCTTCTTTTAAATACAGGTTTAATTACAATCTCTTAAGTGATCAAAATCTAGAACCTCTCAATAGAAACACAGAGATATTTATCTTAATGTCAAAACCATTTGTCTGCAGCTCATAGACATGAAAAGTTCTAGCGGACTTGTCTTTTTCTGGGAGACACACTGGTATAATGTACTATTCTGTAAGAACCCATTCCAACTGCTAGATGTGGTATCATAAAAAAGAAAATAAGACAAAAAAAACCCCAAAAGAGGATGTTAAATTGCCAAGTCAAGAACTCAGAAATAAAGAATGACCGGATCTTAGGTTGCATGTGAAATCTAGTTCTGTGCCCCCATAATGATAATTTTTGGGTTCATGTACTGTTTCCACAGGACCTTTATCTGTTCTGTGTTTAGGTTTATCAATACCCATTGAATGGACAGATTCATGGGTATGCATGAATCTTTATTTTGCATTTCTCATTTATTGTAAAATATCCAAACTGTGCACTGAATACTAAATTATTATTTTCCTCCTGGGATCCCTCTAGGATGCTAATCACTGGATTAATGAGCTGTTTAACAAACAATAAATAGCGTATCTTAAGAGCTCCCTGCAGTAACCTCTTCTTATGGATAAAATTGAGGCACAACGCTATCAAAAGTGTGCACTACGCCTTCAAGATGAGCTGTCTTGATTTTTTTCCACTCTTACCTGTTTAAAGCATGCAGGATTTTCAGAATCCAAGTGCCCACTGGCTTTGTTTAATCTCAAAGTGTTCTGAATTCTTATAAATTGGGCTACAGGTTTCTGAAACTGGGTACTGGGTATAAGAATTAGTAGTCAAAGACCCAACAATTGGATACCTTATTTCTGGTAACACTTCTCCCATTTCTAGTGATTGCTCACAATCTGAACATGACAGTATCATTGGGGTAACATTTGTTACACAGGTGCATCCTATGCTGAAGGATGGATCTCCCCTACTCCTTAATTATTAGTTACCAGTTCCTGTTAAAACAAGAGGCAGGATTTATACCATCTTAATTGTGTGTGTAGTTGTGGGCCTGGCTTATGTTGCCAACACTAATGCAAAATGGTTTGTTTGGATTCTCTCTTCTGCTGCTATTTAAAATTCAAGTCTCCAAATTCTGGGACTTAAGGTAAGCTTAAAGATCCTATGTTTCTAATCTCCGTATCCCATACAACATTTAAAGAACGATCACTCTTATCTCTGTAAACCATCTCTTCTCTGAGCTTTACTAGCCCTTCAGGACAAGTTAAGTCTCCTGCCTTTACCGGGTGTTCAGGGATATAAGAATTTCTCTTGGGTCTGAAATAGTTCAGAAGCAGTCTAGAGGATTCTGTGGCTTTTCTATTGCAATCTCAAAAGATCTCAGGCAGGGTGTTAAGGAACTCTATTCTTAAACAAACAGAGTTCCACCTATGGCAGCTAAATCACTTTGCAACACATTTTGCTGCAGAGCTGGTAGCGTTTCCCTGGCATGCTGACAGCTCCGTATTATTATTTACTAGGAAATCTATTGCGCAGAACATAAAGAAGGTATTTTGTTACTTGCCTTCATGCCATTTTGTTTAAAGACCAAGTGAATAGAGTTCTGCTCGCACTCCCTGCAGCTTCAAATTATATTGTATACTTACCTTTGGCACTCTCAGAGTGGGTACATAGTTACCCTGGAAAAATGTGACTAGGTCCTATTCCCACAAAATTACTTACCTATAGCACCTCATTAATGTGATGGGTCAAGTTATCTTTAGATCAAAGGTGGTTAATTATTTGTTTGCAAAATACTTCATGGCCCTCTGCTGAAACTGGTGTATGAAAGGACAAGAAAGTGGGATTAGAATTCCAGAAGCAGTTTTTCACATCAAGTCTCTTTAAAACTGAAAATACTGGGTGAATACATGGAGGGGAAGCAGGACTGAGCAGTATGTTCTTTACATCTCACATATGTTGCAAACTGGCATGCAAAGCAACAGGAAGCCTGGTCAGGTGCTGTACGTCCCTGGGACGGTGATTTTTAACAGGACTGAACGCTTTCCCTTTAAGTTCTGTTAGAAATTCTTTTCTGTGCAGGACACAAATCGTGCACTTACTGGTCTCATCTGTGGTCCAGGATCACAAAATAAACCACCATCAGTGATAACTATCAAAATACCAACTTCTCTTCAGTGTTCAGGCAACCACTGGCCGCTGGCTTCTTTAATCTGAACACATGATCATACTGCCATTAGACCCCAGGCAGTCCTTGCAAACCAGACCCTAACGTGACAGCATGGTCTACCCAGAGGACATACCACAGGTACAATACGATGGCCACACTGTTTAATGCAGCACTTGAAAAAATGCAGTGGAATGGCCTTTTAAAATTTGGTAGGGGAAATGGTAAGTCTACATTTAGGAAAGACTGCAGATGTGACTGAATTCTACCAAAGCGACTCAAGCTAACAAAATAGTTCAAAACTATTTGCACTCTAAGGAATGTACTTGATCTGAAACAGCAATGAAGTCTGTCTGTGAACAGGGATGGTGCACTCCCTATTATAAAGCTTATTTTCTACAGGAAAAAAAGAAAACCGTTAAGAAATCCTACTGCTTCCAGGATCTTATTTTTTGACTAGAACCCCTACAAAATGGTTCTTACAAGCTTCCTGATATGATATCTCTTGTTTTTAGAACTTTCACTTAATGGAATTTATTCAAATTGATTCCACTAATAGAATAGCTGATTGCAGTGTTGAATGAACCTGTTTGTAGTACCTGGCAGTCAATCTCAAAGCTTTTCAAAAAATCTCCAAGAGAAATTCAACAAGCATTAAGAAATATCGCGGGGTATATGCAGAAATAAAATGGGCTCAGATTAAAATGCTGAGTGCATCTGAATTTCAAAGAAGGCAATAAATACGTAATTTTGTCAAAAACCAGGGGAAATACACAGCTTAACAGATTTCACTACAAAACCAAAGAACAATATTAACGCTCCCCCTCAAATCCAAATGATTAAAAGGTTGCTACATGCAGATGAGAGTAAAGTGAATAATGAAATTGTGAAGCAGGAAAATGTATTTAGAAAGGCTGGTTGTACTGTATTTTACATGCCAGCCGCTGACTAGTATATATTATCTCCAAGACGCAACTGCACAGCTATTGGTTAACTTTTGATAGCTATTTGTTAACTTGTGATACAACAGGATTTCATTAAAATAATTAGTATTTCTGGTCAAAGCTGTAGAACGCTCTTGCATGTATCTCCAGAAGCTCAATGGCTAGGACACTTGTTTAGGAAGTAAGAGATTCATCTCCCAACCCATAATTGTATCTTCTTAAGCACAGAGATTCAATACTCAGATCACACATCCCATTAATACTCTAAATGTTCTTGGACACCACTGGCCACTAGAAGATACTTCACATTATAAACTCATGCTAAATGGGGAAAAGCTGATTGTGTGTACTTCTTCCTCTCTTCCACGTGTAGAATTCTGGAATGCTAATTGGAAAATGAGAACAGTAGCCTGCTTTTAAGCATCCTAACACCAAGAAAACACAATGACATTAAAGTCATCCTTAGCACAAGCTAATTTAAAAAAAAAGTTTGATTTCCATGCATTTAAAATGAAGGTTCATTGAAATTCCAGTCTTGCCCCCTCACTGGTCCTTGACTTATTCAGGAGGCAGTTTCAACCTTCTCTTTCTCTACTCCCTTTTTAGAAATGTGCCTTTGTATATAAGGTTATGTCCTTTACTAGATCTAACTATTAACAAATTGTGAATCCATATAGAGGTAAAATACATTTTTTTATGCAATAAGGCAAGAAGCAAACTTCAGAATGAAGGCTATCCATATC